TGGAAAAAAAGGTTGGCAACACAGACTCTAATTTCTAGTGGATATGCTTCTGTAATATGAAGTCATAGTTTTGGAAATGCTGGCTCATCTCTGACTCTCTTCACTTGTTTCGGTTCCCCAGGGCTCAATTTTTGGACACATTGTTTTAAATTGGAATTTCTTCCTTAGGGGCACATCATTTGTAAGCATGATCATTTGTAAGCATAAAATTGTTTCTAATTACTATGCAGATGACACAGTTGTGTGTCTAACTGAAACACAGTGACCTCACTTACACTATGTCTCCGAACTTCCAACAGCTCAGTAACATTAAATCAAAGAGTTTCAATCTTTCACTACACCACTAGATCCTACATCATGGGCCTCTAATTAACAAAATCCACAACAGCCTGAATGGTCTTGCCATTCTTGGCTTGAAGCTGTATTATCTTACTCAGGTCAAGATGGTCGATCAGTCTTCTTTTAGCTGTAGAACATATCTAAAATGTTTGTTGTTAGGCTGCACTTCAGAAGGTTATCTATGCTTTTATCTTTAATTGAAGACTATTCAAACTGTCTGCATCCTCCATCCTATCGAGGCCATTTCATCCCTGCGAGGCTTTTATCTAACTCATAGATGGATCCGTATCATTGCTTGTCTTCACTGTCAGTTTTAGAGCTTAAAGCACACGAGGGACCAGGCTTTAGCGGTTTGGGTATAATAGTATTATAATAATGTCTTTGAATTTCTTTAAAAGGCGTAGCTTCATTTAACCTAAAGGACAATTTATCCCTCATCTTGTTTTATTCTTTTTGCCTGTTTCTTCTTGTATTTTTGTTTTTGTCCTATATTTCATTGATGTAGTGTGATTACCCACTAAAACACTTTGCACCAGTTTATAGTCTAAATTTTTTATTGTGATAAACTGTTGCCCCTTAGCTCCCTCGCTTGAGGTTGAACTCAATTTGTAAGGTTATTTCTGTCTGTTTATACACTGTTCAGTCAGAAAAAGCTTATTGATATGAGAATACAGCACAGCAGTATAGTTCACGTTGGGCCTCTTGGTTCTGACCTCATCACTCCCTGCAGCATGGATGTAAGCCTGCACAGAGAGAGATTGGGGAGTGATGATAGCAGACAGATTCCCCCAGAAGACTGGAGTCAGAGTGTACAGGTGGATGCTGGGTGGAGGTGGGGCTGATTAAAAGCTAAGCAGCAGAGATGAAGCAATGAAATAGTGGCAGTGCTGGCAGAGCAGAATGAGAACATAGCATTTTGGAGACTGTGCTCCCAAGAAAAACAACAGCATCAGTTGCTTGTTCAAATTCCCCCGAAATGACCTTGTTTACCTGACAAGGACTAAACCAAAATGTTTCACATACCTTTAGGAGGTTTTGTGCCTTAACTAAAGCTTAACCATAGCTCTGGCAGATTAAAAAAGGCTCACAAGGGCCACACAGTTTATGTATGGTATGTGTATATAACTTTCAGATTTATTCTGACACATAACCCTTTAGAGGTGCTGTTACCTTTGGGCAGAGCCATCTGTTTCCAATCTTAATGCAAAGCTAAGCTGATCAACTGTGGGATGTAGCTTCACATTTACTGTACAGATATGAGAGTGGAATGCATTTCTTTGAATAGACACCCGTATGGCGAAGTATGCATTGGATACATATTGCAGAAAGTGGACATAGCAGCACAACTTGAGCTGATTGCCTTAGCTGGCTCGCAGGCTTTCCTCTATTAACTAAATGTACATTCTGCTATTTAAGAGAGAAGCCATGGGTAAACAAGTTGCACAGCTAACCTTAAAAACAGTCTGACCTCTGCTGCAATAACAGAGTTGTCATCTGGGAGGATGATTCACCAAACATGCCTAGCCCTCGGGGGAATGTTGTCTTGCCTGAGGTCTTTTGACTGGCCACAGTGTGAAGTGCTGTCCATGGTGCTGATTCCTTCGCCATGTGTTTAACATATGATTAGGGCTGTAATAAAATATTATTTTTGTAATAACAATAATGCTCATGGTTTAAAGAAACCAATGTTGACTGTAGGACTCAGCCCAGTCTCCTGCCAAAGCGTGTAATGGACCCGACGATACCGTGTCAGTGTGTTGCCTAGATGTGTACAGTACACACACGTATGAAAGTGCAGTAACAGCAGTAGTTTAAAGAGCGACAATATGTGTTGAAAGCGTGACACTGCCACGGTGGACTGGTGTATGTATTATATGCTTTGGCTTGATATCTGGTTGGTAGGAAACTGCATGCAAAAAGTCAAGTCCAATGTCTGTCCTTCTGTCCTCCAAACGACTCCCAAACGTTCCTATTGCTACAGCAGGTTTTTATCCATTGAACATAATTTTTTTTTTTTGTAGTTTGTGGGCACTTATTGAAAAGACTGTTGCAAAGACATTCTTGAAATGTCATAAAATAATGAAAAATGGCAAAATCGTAATTTCCAAGATCCCAAGGTGACATCTTTTTGAGACATCAAATTGTCTCTTTTGTCTATCCAACAATCCAAAACTAAAAATATTTTTAAATTTACATTGAAAAGCAGGAAATCATCACATTTGAGAAGTTGGAACCTGCAAATGTCGTTGCATGGTATTTTGTTTTAAAAGATTATTGCTCATCAAACTAATTAATTATCTGTTGTTCAACTAACTGTTTCATTGCTACATGTGACAACCTCAGATATTAATACTATGCAATGTGTGCTGCACATACATACAGTGGATCCGTGACAATCTCAGACAACCAGTATTGGTTCTCAACAAATCCACATCTCACAAGACATGTATACCATAAATCTTCCTTGACAACATTCAAAATTGTAGAATTAATTATTTGCCTGTCAGTCAGCAAGCTTTTCCAAGTAAACATAATTTTGTTTCTCGCTGAATCAATCAGAGTTAATCTGTGGCTCTGATCGGCTGCTGGCCGGAGAACATATGTTGGCTGGTTTACACACTCTCCAGCTGCTGAAAGAGATACTATCCTTTGAAACATCTGTCCGCTATTGTCTGTTTCCATTCATCAGAGGTATCACTGTATCTACTACACACATCCAATACAGATATAGACGCCTCAGTCACATGTCTCACATCTCAAACACTCTATTTTAACACTCGTCTGTATTTATAGCACTGTGTTAAAAGGCCTGTCACCTGACCAAGCTGCATAGTGAGGAGAAAGAAGAAAACAGCTTTTATTAGGAGTGATGGTAACCTGCGAAAGACAGCACTCTTTAAAAATATGAAACACCCGTCCGACAATGTGAGTGAAAGAGGGGAGGAGAGCAAAGCGAAATTGTTTGTCTCTCCTCCACGAAATTACTGTCAGAAGTAAGCCATGAAGAGAGGGAAAAAAAGTGAGAGGCAATCAGACATTTCTCTCTCCCTCTCTCCCTCTCTCTCTCTCTCTCTCACACTCAGCATTACTCTCTACTTTCTCCTCTCAGCACACACGCTTATTCATGTCAACACGATTCCAGTCAACATTACTGAAAAAAAACGTGTGCTTTCATTCTGCAGAACGAAAGGAGTGAAGATTACAACGGACTGACTTTTGTTCTTTTCCTCGCAGGCAGGCGATTGCCTCCACAATGAGCACTTTGATCCATACATGAGACAGGCAGCAGACAATACTGACAGACACATTTGTATGTGTGTAGCACCTCCGGTTCATTGTCATATTTGCTTTGTCTCTTTGGTTTTACTGGCTTGTATGTTTACCCAGTCGATAATCCAAGGTAAATGTGGTGTTAGTGGGCTTGACTTTGCGGCTGCAACCAAAGATTGTTTTCTTTATTGATTGACCCTATTTAGAAAAAAAAAGGTAAAAATAAATAAAACACAAGCAAATGTGGCCAGTTTCCAGCAGGGAACCCAAAATATTTATGAACATGCCAATAATTAGTTTAAAACTAATGCTAAACT